ACACACACACACACACACACACACACACACACACACACACACACACAAATAACACCTAGATACAAAACACATATCTGTTGCAAATATAGTCTTTTTAAGCACCATAGCAACAAAAATGAGTAAACCGACAGCCCACTTACAGCCTCTTGATGTTTTTCTACAGATAGCACACAACACAATTAAACCTAAATAGACCAGATCAGTTTTAGTAGTTGTGGGAGCAAAACGTTGGTTACGTACTGTAACCCCAGATTCTATGAGTATAGGCGTAGCCCTTTAAGCGTCGGGCCTCACTGGCTCCTGAATGGCTGAAGAAAAAAGCTATTTTGGGAGCCGATTTCCCGCTCTTAACGTAATTTATACGGACCGGGTGGGGCCCACACAGCAGGTGGGCGTGGACTAAATTTTTTCAGTTTTTATGCTGCGCATAACGGGATAAACCCACTAAAGCGAAGGCCTTAAAGGGCGAAGCCTATACGAAATAGAACAAATCAAGTTTAAAACTCATGAACTGCAGAATAAACAGAACTATCTTTGTCTGTTGACAATCTGTCAACATTTATGGAGCAAAGTGGTGATTAAACCTATTTGGTATAAAAGGTTCCAACACTGTGTTGATGAGATCCAAGTCACTTCATCCCTTCATCATTTCACTCACACCTGAAAGCTGGTGAGGCAGGTATGCAGGGAGTCATTGCAGACAGGGCAGGTAGACTAGAGAGTCTGGGTAGAATCGGACGGTCGCCGGTGCCCATGTCCAGCAATCACTGTGCGAGGGGCGGGGTACACCCTGGACAGGTTGCAAGTCCATCACAGGGCCACCTAGAGACAAACGAGACAAACAACCATTCACTCTCTCATTCACACCTAGGGACAATTTAGAGTTACCAATCAGCCTAACATGCATGTTTTTGGTCTGTGGGAGGAAACCGGAGCACCCGGAGAAAACCCACGCATGCACGGAGAGAACATGCAAACTCCACCCAGAAAGGCCCCTGGACCGGGGTTTGAACCAAGGACCTGCTCGCTGAGAGGCAGCAGCTCTACCAGTTGTGCCACCATGCTGCACCAAAACAAACCAATAAATTAAATATTTTACTCAATTTTATTGAGGTGGGACTGTTGAAGGTTAGTTGGCGGTTCAGAACTGTGGGGAAAAAAGACACAGTTTTCACTTTTACTAAAATCTGAGGATTTGCAATCTGCAAAACTTGAAGCCCCATTCCACGCAGCCAGTTTTTGAAAAACAGTCTGTTTTTTATGCATGGTTTGTAAAACTGAATTCTTGGGCCATATTGTCTCTGCCATGACCTTTGTAACCATACTGGCAGAAGTCCCAACTTTTAGGATTTAATCTGCTGGAATACACTTTTAAAACAAAGATAAAACAGATTTAATTACTTTTTTTGATTATTACTTATCATTGGCTTTGTTTTTAGACATGAGCCTTCTGGGCTTTAGCCTCAGATGTATTTTGTGACAGGAAATTCAGGTTTAAAATACAGCTTTAACAAACAGGATGAATGAGTTTTGTGTTTATTTGTCATATGCAGGTCAGCACAAGGTCAACAATGCAATGAAATGCTCAGGACAAGAAAAAAATGTCTTGACTCGCCAAAAAAACAAACAAAAAAATACCTAAGCATACAACAATAGTACAAAATAAAGAACCAGAATCAGAATAAGCTTTATTATCATTGCACCGAGCTACAACGAGAACATGTACATACAGCCGTCCGAAAGATGAACGTAGTGCACAAAGTTGCTGCTAGTTAGTGAGGCCCTCTTATTCTTATTCATAATAATATTTTTGCTTAGATGAGAAAGGGAAGAAAACACGAGGAGAGAAGGTATAAAAAAAATCTCTCACACCTTGTCCTAGACAGGGCATGATTTGAGGCATCAAAAAAACCTACCACAACATAGCAGCATAAATAGACATGATACCTATAGGCCGGTGAAGACATTGAATTTTAAAGGAAGGTCCAGAGCCCCTCTCAGCCATTGTCCAGATAAGAGGTGTTATTCATCACCAGCTCGGTTGAGGTTCTGTTACATGTCCATGGCCTTGGGGAAAGGAGGGGTGAGGAGACAGACAAAGCATCTTTGTTTTTTCTAAACATGCCAGGAGAAGTTGAGATAAGTCTGGTGTCGAGGCCACAGTTTGGGTCAAGCAAAACTCGTGAATTGTTGTTTCTGCCTTTTAAAGTCTCGCTGGTACATTTCTCTGATGGTGACTCCAAACAGCCAAATTGATTCCTTACGCCGAAAGTCGAGCTCACAGCTTTCTCCAAGATTATTCCCAACCATTCATGGCTGCTGCCAGAAAGTTCACAGCCCTGATAACAGCCTGCTCCACATAATTCAGTCTGAGTGCTGCCAAGCTTTGACACATTCCACACGAATTTGTAGACAATCCAGATTTCACCAACCCAAACAGCAAAATCCATTTGTCATCATGAATCCAATTTGTTTCTGTCGCGGTAAGAGGGTCCTCCTTACCCTGACTCCTGTTGGCAGAAGTTGATCTATTTTGTTGAGAGACCAGCTGATCAAATCCTTCGAATTAGGAAGGTATGAAGGGAAAAAAGAGTCTCTTTAAAAGTTCACAAGACAAGAGAGCATAACAGGGAAATGGGGGGACAAAGCAGAAGAGGACACATCTGTCTCCATTGGAGCACAGAGAGAGAGAGAGAGAGAGAGAGAGAGAGAGAAAAGTGAAAAGAAAATATAATATTTACAAGGTCTAAAAGAAATACAGTAAACAATATAGTAGAATACAGTGGTGCAAGTAGGATGAATCAATACAAATGCGTACCTTACAGTTAGTAACACTGATTAAATAACATGATACATATCACACACAACACAAACCACACAGGTTGTGTGACAGGCAGTGATCAACATTGACATGAACTGAACTATGATGGCAAGGCAGCGATACACATGATACAGCCACACAGTGCAGCAGAAACAAACATATTAGGTGTTACAGATGAGACTCAGTTCTGTTGAGCTGGCAGACAGAGAAGTCGTCCGGAGCCACAGCACAGTCGGGGATGGATAGCTCCAGCCATGCCTCCATAAAGACAAAGACAGAACAGCTCCTCGTGTCAGAGGCAGAGTTTCTTTATTTGTCATTTGCACCACATGTGGTACATGTGGTGGAATGAAATTGTGTACTAAGGTCCCAGCTACATCCAACAATAAAATGTAACAGAAAAACAGTAATAAGATCTAAAATATGAACTAAGAAAACCATCCATCCATCCGTCCATTATCTTTACCTGCTTATTCCATTTTGGGTCATGGGGGTCGTCGGTGCCCATGTCCGGCAATCACTGTGCGAGGGGCGGGGTACACCCTGGACGGGTCGCAAGTCCATCACAGGGACACATAGAGACAAACGAGACAAACAATCATTCACTTTTTCACTCACACCTAGGGACAATTTAGAGTTACCAATCAGCCTAACATGCATGTTTTTGGTCTGTGGGAGGAAACCGGAGCACCTGGAGAAAACCCACGCATGCACAGAGAGAACATGCAAACTCCACCCAGAAAGGCCCCTGGACCGGGGTTTGAACCAAGGACCTGCTCGCTGAGAGGCAGCAGCTCTACCAGTTGTGCCACCATGCTGCAACTAAGAAAACCATAAACTAAAAATACAATAAGCACTAATAGCATAAAAACAATACAAATAATAAAAACAATACGCTGAACAGCAGCAAGAATATGAGTCTGTGTGAGCAGATGAGTACGTATGTGTCCTGCTCATAATAAAGCTGTGCACAGATGTCATCCAGTCTACTCCTCAGAGACTGAACGCCTGAAAGCAAGACCAAGGGGAGAGAGAGTCTGTTGCATTTCTGACGGGTCCTGAACAAAACACAAGCTCACTTCCCTCTTTGTGTTTTCCTCTTACGGCACCTCAGTAAAGAAAGGCCTCAGGGGAAAATGTCTGCTGTGGAGTCCCAAAAAGTCAGACCAAAGTCCCCACTCACTAAAGATTGCAACTCCAAAACTGCATTGTGGTGATACCTGTAGCATTACCCCGTAGTTTTGCAGGTGCAAAAAGTCAACACAAAACAAGGAACTAAAAATGTGCAAGTTGAAGTGGAGCTTTCATCATTGCTGCCATGCTGCGGCGCACGTTGATGATGAACAGAGTTAAACATAGATTTGAGAGGCCCACAACAACACTACAACCATTTCAAAAGAAAATTTGCATTACACATTTTTGAACATGTTCAAAGTTTAAGCGACAAGACCACAAGCCTCTTCACCTCCCTCAAACATTTCCAAACATGTTGGAGCTCCAACTATTCATCGCAGCTCCAGCCCAATGACAGGCTACCTTTAGTTAAAGTTCATTTCTTTCAACCTCTCCACTGAGAGCGTTTTCATTTCCAGATGTTACCTAAGCAGCTAGCAAATCAATATTTGAAAAACATCACATTTCCATAATTTGGGCGACCTTATTTATTAAATTGTATATTTTATTTGAGTAACTGTCTTGAAAATGTCACTTATAGTACCTGTTAAAATGTAAAAACAATATCATGAAACATGTTGTTTGCAGTGTAGCTGAAGGATGTGGATCAGCAAATAAGCTTCCTACCTATATCTAGTCATGTACATATCAAGTCCAAAGAAAAAGCTCCCTGGCTGCAACTCTAAGTCTGATTAGTTGATTAAATTGTATGTCAGGACCTGTGCTTTGATTTGTTTTATTGATCGGGACCTTCAGCCCAGATATTGCACACACAAATTAATTATGGTTCATTTTTATTCCTAAGCATTAAACTACTCCAATGTGCAGGCGCTCAAACAGAAAACTCAGAATTAATAACTATAATATAACACTATGATTCAATTCTGTTTAGTCATACTGTATCAATTCATAATGAAAGTCATCTCAGACTTTTAACTACATTATAAAATTCTAATTAGTAAAAGTTATCTATCTAAAGAAGCCAGCAGATAGCATCACTTTGTCATAGTCTCCCATCCTGAGCAGCCCATCAGTGACAGTGGAAAGGAAAGTCCCTTTTAATGGGAACAAACCTTCAGCAGAACCAGATTTGAGCTCAGAATGTGCAGCCATCTGCTTTGACTGGCTGGGTTTGAGAGGAAAGGAAGGATAAACAGACAGACACAGAATGCCTGGTCCAGGTTTCTATGAGAAGACACAAACAAAACCACATTAATGATAGAAAACAATTACAAATACAAAGACAGACAGAACAAGAAAAGACAGCAGTAGAGTGAGGAGCAGAGTCAGTTTGTCCTCCAACAATCTAAACTTCTAGCAGCATAATGATGTAACAGCTCATAAACCCAAGCCGACCCTAACTATAGGATTTATAGTTTAAGGAAAGTCTTCGGACTTTCTTCAAAAGCAGAATGTCAGCCCCAGGGACAGAAACCAAATGTTGGTTCTACAAGAGAGCAGCCTGATAACACAAAGCTCTGACTCCCATTCTACCTTTGGATGCTCTAGGAACCACAAGTAAACCTGCAGTAACACTATGATCCTTACAATAGGATGGAGCTAGGTTGCTGAGAGCTTTGTATGTTAGAAGAAAGATTTTAAATTCTGTTCTGAATAAGTATATATTATATAATATTACATTATGTTATATAATATTATGGGAGTGGTGGCGCAGAGGTTAGAGAATGTGGCTCTGTGATCGGAATATTGCTGGTTCAAGTCCCAGTACTGATAACATCAAAAATGAGTGTGGGATAGGAGAAACATGCCTCCACCCTCATTTTCCCCACTCTGGACCCTTGAGCAAGGCCCTTAACCTCCACCATCTGCTCCTTTGGGCGACCTGGATAGCAGCTCTCTGCTCCACACAGAGGGCTGTGGTAGCTCGGTGGTCTGTGGTTGCATCAGGAAGGGTATCTGACGTAAAAATAATTGCCAAGTGTTCATGCAACTTAGTTTGCTGTGGCAACCCCTGAAGAAGGGAGCAGCCAAAAGAAGAAGAAAAATACATTATATTATATCATATTTATTATATTATATTATTCAAAAATGTACAAGACAAAAACAACTGGACTTAATTTGTAACAGAAGACGTTTAGCTTCTCATCCAAGGATCTTTCTCAATTCGAATTATTGGAATGATCTCAGAATTGCGAAAGCTCCTCAGATGAGAAGCGAAACATCTTCTGTTACAAATTAAGTCCAGTTGGTTTTGTCTTGTACTTTTTTGAATTTACCAAGTCCTGGATGACTGAGAATCTGCACTAGCATATATAATATATTATATTATATTATATTATATTATATTATATTATATTATATTATATTTTAACTCTGTGCTTTTATTTATTTTTTCATACCTAGCTAGTTCAGATCATTTTCTCTTGCGACCACTGAACTTTGCAAAAGGAATAAAAAGAAGACATGATGTAGCAGTTTGCAGTATGTAAACATGTTGTTGTCATGTGTTAGGTTCTGACTCTGGCCAGTAACGAGCGGATCCCTCTGAACCCCACCATGAGGCTGGTATTTGAGATCAGCCACCTTCGCACTGCGACCCCTGCTACTGTATCCAGGGCAGGTACAGAAACATCTATTCTTTTTATTTCCCGGTCCGCTTGATTATCTTTGGCCTACAAAAATGACTCACATCAGTGACTCACATCTTTGGTTATTTTTATCCAAAGGGATTGTTAAGGAGTTAATCTGAGTCCTGTGTCTTATTTTCTAGGAATCCTGTATATAAATCCTGCAGACCTGGGATGGAACCCGCAGGTCTCCAGCTGGATTGACAAGAGAGTGTTTCAGTCTGAGAAAGCTAACTTGACCATCCTGTTTGACAAGTACCTACCCTCATGTCTGGACGCCCTCAGGTCCAGGTAAAGCAGCTCTCGAAGGGATCAGACAGGAAGTGAAGTGCCTGCTGTCATGTTGGTGACGCAGTGTGTTGGGGTATGACAGAACACGGGTAGTAACTGTGTGATGTGGGCGTGCTGTAGCGGGGCAAACAGAGAATGACTCAGAGAACTGGACGTGCTTCTGCAGCTTTCATCCTCCAACACCTCCTTCATCATCATTTTTAGAGCAAATAACAGGAAGCAGAGGAGGGAAGGATGCATTGTTCAAATATGCACCGCTGTATTCCAGCTCATAAATCTGTGTCCTCTGACGTACGCTTAAAATCAAACTCTTCATTCATGAGGAGTTTTCATTGTTTTGATCAATCTAAAAAAAAAAAAAAGTGTCACGTTTGATAAAACCCAAATTTATGTTTGAATCTTTCTCAGAGAGCACAGTCAGACCTTTGCTTACTGGTTGAGGTTTTGGTGAAAGGATTCTGGTTTATGTTTGGACAGGTTTAAGAAGATCATCCCAATCCCTGAACAGAGTCTTGTCCAAATGCTGTGCTACCTGCTGGAGTGTCTCCTGACTGCAGAAAACACGCCACCGGACTGCGCCAAAGAACTTCATGAGCTCTATTTTGTCTTTGCTGCAGTCTGGGCTTTTGGAGGAGCCTTGTTCCAGGACCAGGTGGGTCTCTGGCCACATGAGATGATTACCAAGTGGCTGCAAAAACAGGGAACGGATTTATTTTCTTATCACAACTCATCTCTGAAACAGTTTTTTTTTCTTCTTTTTTCCCACTTTCACTCAAGCAGCTCAACATTGTGTCTATTTATATAAAAAAAAGTGATTTGAATGTTATTTTTTGCATGAAGATATTACTTTTGTTTTGTTTTTTTAATGGGGAGATTGTCATCTAAAACTGAAGTGGACTTTATTCCTGCTCAGAAACACACAGACTGTCTGAATTTAAATCAGCAGGAGAGCTGTGGCGAGCAGTTGCTTAGCAATCCAGTTAGTGCAGTACAGTAAGCGTGTCCGTCTGAGTTATGGGATGAAACTGCTCTCCCCTCAGTACAAATGTACTCCACTTTATTTTCCCATCACAGATGCATTTGAATGTTAAGTGGTTTTATTGACTGGAGAGTCGGTGTTGAATAGAGGAGACAGGTATCACGGGCTGGGGGAGGGTTAGGGGTGGGTGGGGAGCTGTCAGCCAGCAGGAGATGAGACTTCTTTTACTGTGTGAATCACACGGATGGATAGATGCTCTGCCACCTCTCATTTAATACCCTTTACTTGTTGTATCTGTGTACTCCCAACATGTATTTGTCCTTTGCTTTGTCTTCACACTCGACTAAATTAAATGCAGATCCATCGCTGCTACGTAGAGGAATAAAAGCAAAAAAATAGTAATTTTTGCTAAACTGACCCCATTTTGATAAAGTCCATTCTCTGGTCTTATTCGGTTCAATTCAGTGGCGCACAATACAGACATGCTAGCTACGATGAAACAGATGTAGCACTCCACTTCTCTCAGGCATCCTAACACCAGCCCTCACCCGGTCAACAACTGCAGGCATTAACGTAGAGCTAAGCTAGCGGGCAACATAGATGTGTCTCCTCATTCCCCCATCCCATCGACAAAAACAAAACAACAACAAAAAAACAAACTCAGAGATGAGCGGCAGATGATGGAAGGGAAACACTACAGTAACCAGGAAAACCCGGAGTTGACTCCTATTGGTTTGAGTATTCTCCTATTAATTAAGTGGAACAGATTTATTCACGAAGAAATAGAAACAGTGCTGGGTGAACCACTATTTCATGGTAAATGTGGGTGCAGGGGGTCCAAATGAGTACTTTTTAAATGTGGAAGGGGACAAGTCCCCTCCACATATAATTATTGTGATGCCTATTACTCTCTCTGTTTCTGTGTGTGTTCAGATGGTCGACTACAGAGTGGAGTTCAGCAAGTGGTGGGTCACCGAGTTCAAAACCATTAAGTTCCCATCTCACGGCACTGTGTTTGATTACTACATCGACCCCGAAACCAAAAAGTTTGAACCATGGTCCAAGATGGTGCCCCAATTTGATATGGATACTGATGCACCACTTCAGGTAAATCTATCTCTATTGATCAGAAGGTCTGAAAGATAAATCTGGTTTGATCCAAATATGCTGAGACAGGCAGGTGGACTAGGTTTTCTGGACAAAAAACAAAATACATGTATGAGGGTTGTCCCACTTTGCCTTTTATTGAGAACACTACAGTTTCAGTTCTGATAGGTTGGATAAGGAATAAAAAGACAAATCCTGATGCATTCTCAATAATCCAGGTAGAAAATTTCAAAAAAGTTAAGTCAGGTCCTCTGGACCGGTTCAAAAAACAAAAAAACAGACTGAAGAAGTCTTTTGGATGAAAGACGAAACGTTTCTACAACTTTTTGTTTTTTGAACTCATCCAGAGGACCTGACTTAACTTTTTAGAAAGAAAAAGAAACTTAATAAAATAAATAAATAAATAAAAAACATTTGCAAGACACAGCTAACCAGAGACCACCTTAGAATCTTCTTCTTTCAGCTTTTCCCTCTTCAGGGGTCTCCACAGTGAGTCCTCCTCCACCTTCTCAGTCTGTCCTCTGCATCCTCTGTCCTCACTCCAACTACCTCCATGTCCTCTCCAACTCCTCTTTGGCCTTCCTGTCTTCCTTCCTCTCTTTCTTCCTTCCTGTCTTTTTCCTGGCAGCTGCATTTCTAACATCCTCCTACCAATATGCCCACTGTCCCTCCTCTGGACATGTCCAACCCATCTCAGTCTGGTCTCTAACTTTATCTCCCAGTTGTTCAACCTGTGCTGTACCTCTGATGATCTCATTCATTATCTTATCCATTCTTGTCACTCTTGAGGAGAACCTCAACTTCATTTCCGCCACTTCCACTTCTTTCTCCTGTCTTTTTGTCAATGCCACTGTCTTCAGACCATGTAATATAGCTGTTCCACCTGGCTGGTGAGAGACCACCTTAGAATAAAGGTTTTATTTATACAATCAGAAAATCAGCAGAAATAAACACAAAGTCCTGAATCGATTTCATCTGATCAGTGAGAGGATTTGTGCTCTCTAGCGTCTTTCCCCCTTGTGGTCTGCTCCAGCTCCAGCTGTTCCCACCTGTTCCTAATTATCTTTTCCACAGGTGTTTGTTATTATCTCCTCGTTAGTGTTCTTATTTATTGTGTGTCTCCTTTTTATTCCCCTGTCCGTGGATTATCCTGCGAAGGTTGTCATGGTCTGTTTCTCCGAACCAGTGTTTCTCCGTGTCATTCTGCTCCTGTGTACTTCCTGTGAGTTTTGCTGCCACGTCAGCCTTTTGTTTTGTTTAATAAATTAATTTCCTGATTTTTACCTCCGAGTTCTTCTTCGTTGCCTGCACATTGGGTTCAACTTCAAAACTGCATCAGATTGTGACACTCAGAGTATGTGTTGCAGATAAGTCTCAGCTACTTCCACACCAAATTAGTTCATTATCTAGAAATTATAATTTTTCTACGTGCCACATTTGATTAGCTGTGGTGGCCATTTTGAATCTGCGGACTTTACATTTATCACTTGCTGTTGTACGTTCAAAGATTACTGTCTGAGAGTTTCAGTAAAATAATACATCCGGTGAATCAGCAACAAGAGCACACAAACACACACACACACAGGCAATTACATGATCACACATGGTTTGAGGCAACTGGTGGTATACTTGTTCTGACTATTTTTAAGTCTTCAAGTTCAAGCTCAGGTAGGTTTATTGCCGTTCTCACCACATGTGGTAGATGAGGTGGAATTATATTATGTACACAGGGTCCCAGTTGCATCCAACAATAGCAAAACTATAAAGTGTAAAACGAAACAGTATATAAGGATCTAAAGTATACACTAAGATATACGCTAAATGAACGCCAAAGTGTATGCTAAAATATCCAAGATATATGATAAACACTAATAGTGCATAACAATACATTGTAAAACAGCAGCCTAAACATGAGTCTGTGTGAGCAGATGGATATGAATGTATACAGCAGCATGCAATAATCAGCAACATGGATAATCAGCAGTACATATGTCACATTTCACTAACTAAAGTGGCATTACAGTGTTATTTTTTTTCTTACTGTGATTATCCTGGTTAGAGATCCATGAGTCTAACAGCCTCAGGGTAGAAGCTGTTCCTCAGTCTAGTGGTTCTACACTTAATGCTCCTCAACCTCCTGCCTGAGGGGAATGGGGCATAAAGTGTGTGTGTTGGGTGAGTGGGGTCCTTCATGATGCAGGTGGCCCTCTTCCTGCATCTGGAGGTGTAGATGTCTGTGATGGTGGGGAGACTGACTCCAACATCTTCTGTGCAGCCTTCACCACTCTCTGCAAAGCTTTTCTTTCTGCAGCTGTGCAGCCTCCATGCCACACTTTGATGCTGGCGCACAGGATGCTCTCCACTGCACACCTGTAGAAGGAGGTGAGGACTGAGCTTCCCAGACCAGCTCGTCTCATCCACCGGAGAAAGTGCATAGTCGCTGATGTGCTTTCTTGATCAGGCTGGTATCAGGCTACTCTGTTGATCGATTCTTGCGGTGTGCATATCCGTGTTTTCTCGGCTTCCTTTTTAAAAACATTTCAATGTGACAAAACTTTACCTTCTAAGTGACTTTTGTTTTACAAAATCACATTGAAAAATAAAAAACTAATTTCTGTGTATATGGGAGACATGACAGATAATTTATTTCCTGGTCTCTTTAATCATGGTCTTCAGTGTTCTGTTCCAGCAGGATGTGCCCATAAATTTTTTATTTGTAGCATCACCTGCCACAGTTATCAGTTATTTTCATTGTCATTACCATCCATCCATCCATCCATCCATTTTCTTCCGCTTATCCGGGGTCGGGTCGCAGGGGTAGCAGCTTAAGTAGGGAGGCCCAGACTTCCCTCTCCCCAGCCACTTGGGCCAGCTCCTACGGGGGAATCCCGAGGCATTCCCAGGCCAGCCGAGAAACATAGTCCCTGCAGCGTGTCCTGGGTCTTCCTCTGGGTCTCCTCCCAGTGTGACGTGTCCAGAACACCTCACCAGGGAGGCATCCAGGAGGCATTCTAACCAGATGCCCGAGCCATCTCAACTGGCTCCTCTGAACGTGGAGAAGCAGGGCTCTACTCTGAGTCCGTCCCAGATGACTGAGCTTCTCACCCTATCTCTAAGGAAGAGCCCAGACAACATCATCAGGCCAGGATTCTGCGGTCAACACTCATCTCCAGGCCAGCGGTCACTCTTTCAGGGATGAAGATGTTCACATCCTGGACAGAGAGGAACAATGTTTTGAGAGAGGAGTAAAGGAGGCCATCTTTGTGAAAAGAAACCGTCCATCATTAAACAGGGGTGGAGGCCTCCGGGTTCAACTGTCCCCCCCTTACAACGCTGTGATTGCTAGTATCACTCAACCCCCTGTGAATAGTAAACAGCCATCAGTGTGCTAATGATCCATTGTTTGGCTGATGGTCCTTATTGACCATGTGAGCAGCTGGTTTTGGTTGTCAGCAGCAAACTGGTTGATCCACTCAGAGAAGGTGCTATTTAAGAGACTGAGCTGAATACAGCACCTCAGACTGAGGAAGTCTCTCAAATGAGAGACGAAACATTTCTATATTTTTTTGCTTTGTTTTGTTTTTTGTGTTTTTGAATGTCCAGAGGACCAGATTGAACTTTTTTGGATTTTTCTACCTGGATTATTGAGCATGCATCAGGATAACTGACAGATATTTTTTTTATTTTCACTGACTGCCACTTTGGGTAAAAATACAGCACCAACAACCAAAAACCTCAGAATCAGTCTTCCTTGGTGCCTTTAGTAGAAACTGATTGTCTTTATCTCACATACAGCTTTAATAAGAAAAGACAACATTTTGTTGTGTTACTGGGATGCAAGTTCATCAAAAATGTTAAACACAAAGTCTTTATAAAAAAATTGAGACATATTTTCTGTGTGGCTCCTCTGTGCAGGCATGTGTCGTCCATACCACAGAGACCATACGGGTTCGATACTTGGTGGACCACCTCCTGGAGCACCGCAGGCCAGTCATGTTGGTCGGGAACGCTGGCACTGGGAAGTCGGTACTGCTTGGAGACAAACTTGACTCACTGGACACAGAGAAATACTTAGTCAAAAATGTTCCCTTTAACTACTACACCACATCTGCTATGCTCCAAGGTACGAACCAACCATTGGCTTCATACAGCTGCTACATGGGAGGAAAAAACTTTTACAGGGTTAAAGACATCTGAAAAATCCAACACTTGTTTTATGCATGGCTTTAAGAAAACCAGCTCATGCAAACAACAAACTAGCATTAAAATGTTAAATATTTATATAAATGACCAGCTGATAGCTAACAGATAAAATACACAGGAGGGAAACCAGTCCATATAGAAAACCAGTTTCAAATTTAAGGCCTAGCTTTTGCCAGAATTTTTGAAAAGCATCATCTTTTAATGGGAAATAGAGTTGTAGCCTTGTTTTCCAAACCATGAAAATAACATAAATGGTAAATGGACAGTCTTTATATACCACCATTCTATCTAGAGTTGCGATTTTTGACCCGTGCCCTACCCGGCCCGAATTTTGAGTCGAGTCGGACCAAAATTATGTGCTTGATGGGCAATTTGGGTTGGTCGCGGGCTTTTGATGCAGTTTTACGAATCATACAGCACAAATAAAACTAAACTTGTTTGGAAGGAGGCAGTAAGCTTATAGGTTGAGGATGAAGAAAGAAAGAAAATAGAGTGCAGAAGTTAATCATACTGTGAAAAGAGAGAGTAGCGCTGGCGCATTGCACAACAATTGCACATGTGGCTCCGCCCGCCCTTTGCTCTCATCATAAGCAACGTAATAGAGCTGGAAAGTATTAAACACAAGCTAAAAACAGGAGAATTCACTCTACAAAGCCAGCACAGTGAAACCTGCTGATGTGTCAGGTGCACGATCAGGCCCGACCAGTTAGTTGAAAGAGGTAAAAACAAGTCCAGTTAAGCTTCTGATGGACAACCGGATCATCAGCTGCGCATGTCCACTGACCAGCCAGTTGAAAGAGGTAAAAAATGTACAGTTAAGCACCCGATGGATCACTGGATCATCGGCCGCATGCATCCTGCTCCGCATCTTGCTCATATCTGCAGTGAAGAAAGTTGCAGCATCTGAAGCCACAAAAGCCGAAGCGAGCAGCGCGTTCAGTTAAAATAACCTTTTTTTTTTTTTTCCAAATAATTTTGCTCTAAAATATTTTTATTCATTTGTATAATAGCCTATCTTTAGAGTTAACTTTTTAGGCTTATCGTTTTGTATGTTAATATCCATTTGGTGAGTTTTTAATAAACAAGAAATCTTACATCTTCCTTTCTTTGAAATACGTTTTTAAAATTATCATGTCAAACTGATTTGTTTACAAAAGCAGTCAAAGCTTAATTTAAAATAAATGTTTTGTTTTTTTTCGGGTTCGGGCCTCTAATTATAGTTAATTAGTCTGGGTGGGACGGGCTCGGACAAAATGCCTATAGACTTGGGCCGGACCAGGCCGGGTCAGATTTTTTGGACCCGAATGCAACTCTAATTCTATCTAGTCAAGATACTCAAAACGCTTTATAATACCCATCCACACAGCACTCTACTAGATCTCTACAAAGATAATCTGAATCTGTAGAGACTAATCAGAACTTAAGATCACATTCATATATGATAGGACACACATGAGAGACAATGAGGGGTTCTGTGTCTTGCCCAGGGATACTTCAGCACTTGACTGCTGGTGGAATCGAACCCCCAGCTCTCCCTTTTGAGGATGACTGCTCTAACCACTCAGCCACAGCTGCCCCACAACATGGTGTGCAAACTTGTGAGATCAAGCTAGATCTTAAGGGATCTCTGACCTTGACGTGGTATTACAAAACCAAACGTTTTCTTGTTGAGAAGGCAAAACCAGATCAGAACCAAGGCAAGACAAGCAAGAATAAATCTGTACTTGAAATTATTTTTCTTCATGAATTTTGAATTTGTGTTATTACATTTGATTAAATCTACATCTGATTGTTTGTGAATCATTTTTTTTCCATGGCACACATTGACAGAGAGGCAGAAATGACTCAACTTGTGCGTTAGCTCCGGAGCTAATATACGTATATTAGAGATGAGATAAATGGCTCTTTGAAGCGAAACCAAATCTTCATAATCTGTTTACTTTATGGAAAAGTTAAATTTTGAACCACAGTAACACCATCACACATGGATATACGTCATTACATATGCCGTAGGTTATGATGTATGTTGTCAGTGCTACATTTTGAAAAGCGGGAACCCCCCTCCCCCACTCCTCCTAAGTTGCTACTCCTCCTGCTCCATCTACTCCCTAGAAAAGGTGGGAATTACCATGGCGACCCATGACACAGATTCATTCAGATGGATGGATGGATGGATGGAAGTTTAGCTTCTATTTTTTTATTTCAAGAAAAAAACTTTGTAAAAGCTTATATAATACTCGTTAATATGAGTTTAATCTCTTGTCATAGCTTAAATTATTAGAGAAGCAATTCACAAATTATGTTTAGGCTTAATAAATGAAAACTGGTATGTGATGTAATGCCAAAGTTGTAGCTGCATTGGCAACCTTTAATATTTCTTTAAAAACTTGTTTTGACTTCATAATAAAAAAAAACAGGCAACAGCTTTAAATTTTCCTGCTTCTCTCCTAGTCATTTTAAAAAGCCAACAAAACAGTAATAAACATCTTTTTTTGTTTGTATTTGGATTTATTACAGCAGCACTTGACTCACAAAGGCTGTGAAACATACACTTGTGACCTTGTGTTCATGTTCAAATGAAGTGTGCTTGATCATTTTTGAGCTGTTTCATGTGCATGAGTCATTTTTAGAAACCATAAAGGTAAAACAATGGAGAGAAAAAGAAAAAGTACTGATTATTCTCCCACACAGATGTGCTGGAAAAGCCCCTGGAGAAGAAAGCAGGGCGCAACTATGGACCTCCTGGCAGCAGAAGACTGGTCTACTTTATAGACGACATGAATATGCCTGAGGTGGATGCTTATGGCACGGTGCAACCTCACACTCTCATACGCCAACACATGGACTACAACCACTGGTAAGACGCAAGCTTTAGCTGCTGTTTGAAAAGAGGAACACAATTTCTTTTTGTAATATGTTGTATCTCAGTGGGATGCATTTATTTGTTGCTGACTAATCGTCTCGTCTTGAAACGTAGGTGTCTCAATATTTATAAATGCCTTATAGAGGTTTCAGTCTTGGCACCAGAATTTTTTACATTTTACTCGAAAAATGTGCAACAAATTCAGTTTCAAATAAAGTTGCTTTAGTCACCTGAAAACCTGTCAAACCCTACTGCTGCCCTTGGGTCAAAATGAACCACAATGTATCATTCCTAACCCCAAAGCTTACACAAGGCTTCGGGGTTAGGGCAGCAGAAGGGTTAATTTAGTTCCTAACAAGACTTCTAGTTTCACAGCAAGTATCTCATTGGGTTACGACTGTGGGCAACTAGTTTCCCATCATGGAGTGAGGAGGGGGTATTGGAAATACACTGTCCGTCTATGCATATTTGAAAATGATCATTTGAAAAATAAGTGAGGAACCAACGACCATTTTGGTGTGTGGCTGCATCTAGATAGGAAAGGTTCCTTTCAAATATTGGGTTGTCACATCAAAATCCAAGATGGCTGTCACCATAAAAGTCCTTCCATGCTTTGAGCATGATCATTTGAAATATAAGGGATGTGCAGATTTCCATTTTTAGGTATGACAATATTTAGCCATAAAAAAATATGTCTTGTTTGTTACGTCAGAATCCAAGATGGCTCCCACCATCTGTCATATGTTTGTCTTGTGTGTTGGATAACTTGAAAAATACGTAACATGTCATCTTCCACTTTGGTGTGTGGCTGCATCACTACATCTGGCTTTAAGTTTGATTTTTCATGTTTTTTGCTAGCATTTCATTACTTTTGGCTAAAAGCTAACAATTTCCTGCAATTTGCAAGGGTTTCATGACTAGATTTTACGCTAGCATTTTCTTATTTTTTGCTGTAAATGTTTTCTTGACTTTTGCTAGTATTTCACTAGTTCTAGCTCTGAGCTAGCTTTTTCTTATTTATTTCGACTATTTCACTACTTTTGCCTCTTTTGTAGCTTTTTCAAGTTTTTTTGCTAGAGTTTTGTTAGAGATGGCTTTTAGCAGGATTTTGTGTATTTTTTATTTTGCTCCTTCTGCCTGCATTCATGCTGATTTTAGTATCTGTTTTTATAATCACTAATGGTTCGGCTCATTTTAGCTATTAGAATCTGAATCAGCTTTATTGTCGTTGCACAGAAGAGCAACAAAATTACATTTCAGTACAGCCCATCTGAAATAACACAAACAAACAGATGGGGTCGACGGACGGGGTGTCTGAGGCTGCAGCCTCACTGAGAGGCACTTCCTTTGTCGTTAGATTAGAAAAAGGGGAACATGAGGGAAAAGGAGGGAGAAAAAAAAGTCACATCTCACACTGTGTCCCTGTGAAGATCTGATGTTGAGGGAGAGACACCTTCAGGTTTCATCAACAAGATCCCAACGTCCATTTGGCCAAAGAACTCATCACCATCCTAAAGATAAACAAAATAAATGATTGCCAGAAATATAACCATCAGGGAATAAAATTGATGAACTACAACAGACCACCATGAAGAATTACATAACAGGAATTGTATGAAATGCAATTTATGCTAACGTGATGATAACTACTATTTGGTCATATTTTCAAAATCTCTATCAATAAACATTGTAAAATCAATATTGGTTTAAGGACTATTTGAGGGAGCTTCTTGGTCACTGAATGGAAATAGATCTTGTGACATTGCAGAAGCTTATTGAAACAATGGCACAGCGAATGCATGCCGTAATCAAAGCTAAAGGCGGTCCAACAAAATATTAGTGTGTGACCTTTATTTGGTGGCAACTTTTTTTGGGCCAGGCAGTGTATGAAAACATACAATGAAAAAAAAACAAACAAAAAAAAAAAAAACAGGGATATGTTGCTACAGTAAAAATTACAATAATATCTAAACTGCATTATGAAACTGACAATTGACTAAAGCAGAAAAACAAAAGTTTTACAAAATCTAGCTGTCTTACAGTTGTCTACAAAAACTAACTTCTATCTTTGATCTGCAGACAGTCCTCTTTATCACAGCTGGCTTGTTCAAATTATACAATAAACATCAAATTATAAAAGTCGCAATTACAAACAAAATGTATACTTACAAAACTAGATTTGAAGAACTCCATAGGATTGTCTCCAAGTAGGTGAGGAAGCCCACTTAGTATGACTGTTCTTTTTTCAGTGGGATCCAGTGACTGTAAGACTGAAAATGGATAAATATGTCAAAAGGAAAAGTCTCTCATACACACAGACAAAGACACACAGAGACAATTTGTGCTTTGTTTTGTCCTGGTATTACCTGCATTTGCTGCAAAAGCTGTGCCAAATGTTCACCCATGCTGCCCTCTTAGCTTTAAAAATTTCTATAAGACGGGTAGTGTGATCATCAAGGGCAGAATACAATTCCTGCAGCAGGTCTTTTCCCACAATCCTTTTGAATTCCAGACAAATCTTAAAATATATATAAAAAAAATGAAATTAGTGTTCTGTACAACTGGAGAGAAAAAGACCATCAGCATATTTATGTGTACCTGCTTATTAGTATATAGAGCGGCCAGCATTTCATCAGAAGGCTTATTGGTGGTGATGTCTCCACAACTTCATCCCTCCAAATGTTAGGTCCATACTTTGTTGTGTTTTCCATTTGGCACACAAATCTAATGGGGCGGTTACAAAAAAAATAAATAAAGAAAAGCAGAATTTAATGAACTAAAACTATCAAGCAAAATTCACTAAAGTGCCAGGAATGATTGTAAGAACCAACAGCCCTTAGTTTGACTATTCACTGTTCAAGTTACAAAAAAAAATTAAAGCATGTGGTAAATTATTCTGTATGCAACAAAAAGCTAACGTAAAGCTAACTGCTAATAGCATTAGCTTTCTGTGAGAGGCAATTAGCTTTTGTTTGCTACAGACATTAACTACCGGTACGAATTCATTCAGTCCCAAAAGAACAACAAAGTATGATCGACTAGCTATAATGTAGGGCCAAAATGATGCAGTTGACACTCCGGTGAAATATTATAGCTAACGTTAACTTGAGCACGGCAAAAAATTTTTATTTTACCCAGGAAGTACAACTATTATAAAAAACGGAATCAAATGTGTGCATTTAACATATGTCGATAAACTGAAACATCATCCAGACTAACCCGATTTCCCCACTTCATCTCATTAATGAGAAATGCAGCTAGCAGTCAGGAGAAACTTGCACTGGGCTCACCATTCCTCTTCTTTTTCTCACCATTCCTCTTCTTTTTCTCACCATTCTTCTTCTTTTTCTTCTTCTTCTTTGTTCACGGGGCAGGTGTTCACTGACAAGCCCCGCCCAAAACCAATAAAAATATTTAAATGAGAGTTGTCTCCACTCATAGCCATTAGTACTGCAAATACTCATTTTGAGTAGTTTACAATTCACATATTGTTTAGTAATGGTCCCACCTTTTGCAAAATAACAAAAAGATTAGTAATAATAGCTTGACTTATTATGTAAAAGAAAATTTGGGTTAACAGTGTAGTAACGTTTTTAATGTGGGGGATAAAAGACATGTCCTGATCAAAAATAACACCAAGATTTTTAACGTTAGAGCTGGAGGACAGATTAATGCCATCTAAGGAGGGAGAAAGACTGAAAAATTCATTCCTAAGGTGCTCAGGTCCAAAAACCAAAACCTCATTTTTTTCTGTGTTCAACAGGAGAAAATTAAGGGTCATCCAGGATTTTATGTCTTTAAGACATGCTTGTAGTCTAAGTAGCTGATTGGATTCATTGGGTTTAATGGACAAATGTAATTGTGTGTCATCAGCATAACAATGGAAATAACTTTCAGCTTCATCTTTCAAAATTTCAGATATTGACATATTTCAAGTAAGCTCTAGCTTTTCAAGAAGCTTTCAGCAAACTCATTTAGCAATTAGTATTCACACTGCAATTTTTGTAGAAAATGCAGTTTCTCTAGTTCAGGGCTATTCAACTAAATTGCTCAGGGAGCCACAGTTACTGAAAGCCAAGAGCTCAGAGGCCAGACATCCAGCAGTTATTCTCATTAAGAAAGGTTTTTTTTGTTTGTTTTTTTTTTTTTACGATTTAAATATAGTTTTATTTAAAAATGTATCCCTTGGTGGGCCGAATTGAGCACACCCGTGGCCCTGATTTGGCACCTGGGCCACCAGTTGAATAGCCCTGCTCTAGTTACTTTTAACATTTAAACATCCACATGTGGTAGAACCAGTTAAAATGAAGTGAAACATCTAATTTCTTGTAGTCTCCATCAGTCACAGCCCAGTGAGGTACTACATTTAGAAAACAGTGATTTGTATAATAAACTGTTAGCAGTTGGTTAAAATCCTAAAGAACAGACATTTCCCCTTAGAATCCAGGAAGATCCCTGCCTTAACATCAATATGTTTCAGCTTCTCTGTATATCAGAAGTAAGTCGTGAGAGCCGGGCTGTGTAATTCTTCGTAAAAAAAGGATTTTGTTGCTCATCTCTTCGACACAGTGAGGCCATTCTGAGCTTGGTTCCACTGTGTCAGACACTGGCTGACTGGCTTAGACATGGACAGCCCATTAAAGATATGCTTGGAGGATTTCAGGTATGAAATTGAGAGGAAGAAGGTTGCTTCGGAGACACGCCAGCTTAAGTAGGAGCTGGGCTGTTCATATCAGCAGAAAGTCCGTGTGAGCCGGGGCATATTCAGGGTTTATGTGGCTGCGAAGCTGTTAAATAACAATTTTATTTTCTCTGTGTGTGTGTGTTCTGCAGGTATGACCGTAATAAGCTGCTTTTGAAAGAAATACACAACATCCAGTACGTGTCCTGCATGAACCCCACGGCCGGCAGTTTCACCATTAATCCTCGACTGCAGGTACACAAACATGTGTCCGGGACATTGTGTTCCACTGCTTATGCAATAAACTGCCAAGGTTGCATGTTCTGGTTTTATCATTTATATCAGTGCAATACTTATTTGTTAAAGAATGAATGCATTAATTTTTATTTTGTTTACATAAAAAAAATACAACAGGAGCATAAAAGTTGTTAACAAAAAGAGACATAAATCAATAGACATATAAAGGCCTATAAAAGGTAAAGTATAGCTTGAAGGAGTTTGTGTTAATATAGAAACATGGTGGACTCCAACAGTTTTTCGCTCAACTTTTAGATGCAGACCTTTTTCAACAAATAGCACCTGAACAATGTGTGTGATACTCAACCACAAACAAGTGAAGTTTTGGCACAATATATGTCAGGTTGTTGTATAAAAATAGGATGGTGTAAAATTATATTGGGGCGTCTGTGGCTGAGTGGTTAAAGCAGTTACCGTCCAATGCAAAAGTTGGGGGTTTGATTCCACCAGCAGTTATATGCCCAAGTGTCCCTGGGCAAGACATTGAACCCCTCATTACCTCCATCGTGTTTCATCTATGTATAAACATGATAAAGTCACTGATTATTCTTTGTATAAATGTAGTAGAATGCTGTATGAATGGGTAAACGAGGGCACAGGTTGTGTTGTAAAGAGCTTTGAGTGTCTTGGTAAGATAGAAAAGTGCTACCTAAGTACAGTCCATTTACCATTTAAAATGGCTGCTGGTTTTGGCAGCCATCTTGACTTGAGTTTGCTCCAAAAGCTCAGCAGTTGTAAATTTACTTCCAATGAATATTTAGTGAGTTTCATTAAAATCTGTCCAGTGGTTTATGAGATAAGTCCTGCGATGGACTGGAGACATATCCAGGTGTCCCTGTGATGGACTGGAGACA